AATAGCTATTGTACTTTATCTCAAAATAATACTAAAAGCTTTTTATGTCTATTTTTAAAAAAATATTTTTATATTCTAAAAATAAGTGATATATTTGACTTAGTAATGAGTCAAATGAGTGTCTCTTTATTGGCGTCACTCTTCCTAATTACTGTTCCGTTGTCCTATAAATACTATTATATCTGCATTATGTTTAATTTATTATTAATTAACGTCAAATAAGATGTCTAATATAAACCCACGCCCGACGCTGACGCTGTACCGACTGCTTAAATAATTGCGTTCATTATATTTTTATTTAAGCTGATAAAATTAATTTACAGACTTTTATATTAGTATATATAAAATTCTCATATCGCGCTGTTAGACAGAGAACTTCTCCGAAACGACTGGACCTATTTTGATGACATTTTGTGAGCATATTGAATAGATCTGAGAATCGGCCAACATCTATTTTTCATACCCCTCAATCATAAGGGTTGTTCACCTATTTTTTTATTTATAATGTAGCATTAAAAAATACATACAACCAAAATGTTTTTTTTTATCACCAACCCCTATTTCTTTATATGGCAAAACAACGTTTGTTTGGTCAGCTAGTATATATATACAAGAAACACGAAATTCTGATACGATTTTGTCAAACTAAATCATATTTTGATTATTATTTAAATAAAAGTATGTAATAAGAACGAAACATATTAAAAACTGTCGAAATTGCCGCCATTTTAAATGATTACAAGTGTCACTTTATTACCTCTTCAAATAGCTTCTCAATGGAGACGTCAAAGCCAAATTTGTAATAAAATAATTTGATGTAGAGTCACTCCAAACATTATATTCGGTCCGTTAAGCCGCCATCAAGCACAGAAGCTGTTCATATATTCTGTAAGCTGTCCCCGAAGCTATTAAACGCACGCGCGGAGCCAAAAACTCCTGTCTTTGTAGCTGACGGGGGCGTTGTTTTGTGATTAATTGATTTCGGCTTATGTATTGGAAAATATTATCATATATTAGATACTAGCTTTCTTCCTATACTTATTTTGGGCATCATATTTATTTTTACAAACTACCTGCTTAGATTTATAAACTATAGTTATATCCCGCGCCTCTGTCCGCGTCGATTTCTGTTATTATTGTAGATTATTTATTTTAAAGTACTACTGAGCCAGCGTGGTGCCTTGTAGATTAGTAATGCATTAATTTCGACCAAATTTGATTACCATAAAAACGATTCTAGTGAGATAATCTTAAAAGATAGACATATACTGTCGCGGACATTTTTTTAAATCATTTTAAGAAGTCTAATTCTTTGATACATATTTTTTTGGTATCTTAAACCGTTTTCTCAGCGCAATGGAAGCCCTCAAAGATGAATATTTTGTCCCGTTATTTCCACATTTTCTATAATTTCTTAGTTCCTATTAGCCGCAGTGTGACATTAAAGCCTTTCTCAATATATGTTCTATTCACCACAGAAATATTTTTGCAATTAGTACCAGTAGTTTCTGAGATAAGCGCAAACAAACAAACAATTCTTCAGGCTTATGATTTAGTATAGATTCATTTGTTCTGTTTTGTGAAACTAATTTCGTTTAGGTAGTGGCATATTTTTTCTTCTCTCTTCTAGAAGCATCTGGTAAATTACGCGTTTTTATTTTTGATTATAAACCACATACTCCCGACGTTTCGGCTACTTTACAGCAACCGTGATCACGGGCGTCTCGTCGTCTCAAAAATAAAAAACGCGTAGTAAATCCGAAAATATTAGTTTCATTTAAATTAATACTCGCGAAAATCTTAGATATCATCATCTGGTAAACTAATGATATTATAGATGCGAAAGTAACTCTGTCTGTCTGTCTGTTACGCTTTCACGCCTAAACCACTGAACTGATTTTAATGAAATTCGGTACAGACATAGAGTTGACCTTGAGAAAGAACATAGGATAGTATTTATTCCAGACTTTTGAAAGGTTCTCTTGGAAACGCGATATAACATAACTCCACGCGGGCGAAGCTGCGGGCGGAAAGCTAGTCCTCTGTATATTTATAATATTACGAATTGGTAACGTAATTAGGACATAAACGATAATGGTGTCATTACTCACAAAAAATAACTTCGAAACCATTACAATAGATAAAATGAATAAAGCGAAGATTCGAATTGTAATGTCCTTACCAATCAATATGAAGGGACTCGTAAAAAATAGACATTAACAGAAAATGAGGGATCGAGTGTGGTTTTTTCAATGAAAGAATTCACTTCAGAGTAATGACTCACGGAATAATAGTGTCTACCAATACATATTTTTATACATATAATTCTTCTGTGAGTGTGTATGTCACTGAACTTCTCTCAAACAACTGGACCGATATTGACGAATTTTTTTGTGTGTGTTCAAGGGGATCTGGGAATGGTTTAGATTCACAATTTTGTGACAGACAATGTTTTTTTAATTAATTTTTAATTTATTAGTGTCTAGTTGTTGATACAAACTTTTTTTTTTACATTAGATTTGACAACTAACTAATATGTCAATCATTTTGTCGCACTTCAAAACACGGAGATTTATGGCTTTAATAGGTACACTCCAAAAATATAAATAATAAAACGTAACAGATATTTCTTGATTATAGGGCGATACGAAGTTCGCCGGGTCTTCTAGTAGTTTTATTTAAAGTCAATGACTTTATATTATCTATCGATATCTTTATTATAGATATTTTAATACACTTCATTGATTATTTCAAGTTCAACATTCAGTGACGAAACAGACATTGAGGAATGTTCACGGATTGATGTATTATATGTGTGTGTGTGTGTGTGTGTGTGTGTGTGTGTGTGAGTCGTGGTAGTGTGTGTGATGTTTATTTTATATAATTTAATATATTTGCCCTTTTCTTTTTCCCTCCCTTTCCCACTTTTTCCTCCCCCTCTTCTCTTATGAAGACAACATATCCGCAAAATTTGTTGCGAATGTGTTGTTAATGTGTTGTTAAATATTAAAAGTATACTGAGTTTCAGCTTGACCTATGTATTTTAGTTAATATAATTTTCAAGTATTTTACTGAATAGTTTTTTTTGACATAGGTTCCATTTTTCGACTCTAAAATTTAAATCAATTCTCCTATCTAATCTTTTTTTAAACTACCCCTAACTGGTCTATCTATCAAAAAACCTCATCTTGTTCCTACATTCGATTGTCAAGATCATCTCTAGATAGACCTGAGTCACTAATACAGTCGTTCAATAAATGATCTTCGTCCAGCCCTACAGAGAATAGATCCTTAATATCTTTCACGTGTAGGCGTAACTTGGACGGCCTAATGAACTCTCCCCGCGGACCAAAAAACTGCAAGTTGACGACAAAAAACTATCAACTATAATCAAACTAAAACGCAAACTCATTTTAAAGATTCAGCCGCAATAAATCACTGAGTTTTTTTATTTATTCTATGTCACTATCAAACAATTTGTATATACAGGGTGACTGGTGAATTACTATCAATATTTAAGGAGAATACTCGGTACATGATTCTCATTCGAATTATGTAAAAAAAATACGTACTTAATTTTTTACCAAATTTCCGTATAAATAAATAAAGTGTGGACACGTTCCAAGTGTTCCAAGTGTAGACGCGTGCGGCGGCGTGGTGTTGTATCAGCATGTGTGTGTGTGTGTGTATACCTAATCTGTAGGGTGTTCACACGATGCGTAATTAATTACATAACTTTTGGTTAACTTTACTTAGAAGTTTATTAATATTTATGTTATATTAATTTTTATTTTGTCATATATGATCGTCATATATCACGTCCTCAAGTATCGATAGTATTTCACCAGTCACCCTGTATAGGAATGTGCGAATATAGGATGTAACGTTCTGTTCTGGGATCGATCGACGGAAAGTTTGTGACACAAACAAGAGGGGCGCGGAGGAACAGAGTTTGATGAGGACATTAACCCAGATATAGAGCGACCGACAGACATATTAAAAGGTTCACTAGCTATGGAAACTGGACAAATAAATCACTGACAGACAGACGGATCTGTATATATATATACGGAAATTTGGTCAAAAATTAAGTACCTATTTTTTTTACATAATTCGAATGAGAATCATGTACCGAGTATTCTCCTTAAATATTGATAGTAATTCACCAGTCACCCTGTATATAATACTCATAGTACAGTCACTTACAGTCCCAGAACGAAGTTTAACTATTCCCTGTTTCAAACCAAACTTGTAAATCTCTAAAGAGCAGAGGGAATGAAACTATTATTATTAATAGAAATGAAATATTAAATATATGATACTATCTTTTATTTCTTTTAAAAATAATGCTTATATGTTTATATGATACAAATATATATATCAAATATTTGATATTGAAATACAGTAGAGGATTTTATTTTATGATTTATAAATATATGTGTTCGTAAATAATATTAGATATATCTGTAAAATCTATTTTTCTTCCATTTATTATATATTTGAAATATTTATAAATATATGCTTTCTGTCTGACATCTTCGAAAATATATTTGTCTTTTAACATTAAAATTTTAATTTTTAATATAAAATTTAATTATTGACTTTCTTTACTATTATGAGAAAATTAAAATATGAAGTTTATATATATTTATATTAAATATAAACTACCTTTTTCTAAAAAATCTATATATATAGGAGACAAAACATACAAAAATCTTTTACAATCTTTATTTACTCAAAAGAAACATATTTCACATGTTAGTTTTTTGACTTAAACATTAAAACATACGCGACTACCAATTCTAACAAATATTTGTGGAATCTTTGACCTTTTAACAAATATAATATGAAAAGATTCATTAATTTAGTATTTCTTATATGTACAACAAGACTCAATATGGTTAACACATATGACATATATTACAATTAATGTTTACCTTATCTGAAAATAATTATTATGTTTACAATCTTATTGTATATTATAAAATTATTATTAATAATTAAGTGTTTAAAAAGATATTTTCACCAAATGGAATGGCCGTGTCGATGGATGCAGCCAAAGATGGCGCGCGCATGCGGCGTGGCTCGCTCGATACATGCACCCGTCTCGAGCTACGACACCGACGAGCCCGGTTCAATAAACAAGGAATACATCGACTACATGCACTGACACTTTCACGCACTGAACGACGACAGGACCAGAGACAGGCGGACCTAGGACATAACTTATACCTGCAAACAGACACAGCACAGTTATAGCTTAGTGGAGACAGATGCTTGGTGTCGGCTCGGTCCGTAGATATAGCAACAGCTCGACCAGCTTGTCCCGGCGCAGCAGTAGCCAGCACGTACTGCTGTGACAGGACAATATGGACGAGGAGCGCGAGGCAGCGGCGGGCGTCGGGCGGCGTGTGAGGCAGCGCGTGAGGCAGCGTGGCCGGCCGCCGCGCCCCGGGTCGCGCAGGCGCCCTCACCCTCACCGCACCCCCGCACCCCGCACCCCCGACATACACACACCCTAGCACACCCTCAATGAACGCAACCCTCGATCGACTATCGATTTTCCAACAAGAAAATTTATTTTAATTCATCATATTATATTTATTTCCACCAATGATCAAAATATTCTCATTTAGTGCCTCAATCCTCTAGTTTTAGTCGTTTCATTTCCAGTAACTAAGAATTAGGTTACAGGTCATTGACCCCGTCGATCCTCGCCCCGTACTCTCCTTGTCACAAGTTTTCGAGTGTAGTTGGATTCCGTTTCAGGTGAAGAGTTATTCACACTACACTCCGACTGTAAAAGCCACTGATACTCTCCACAGACCACTCGACGTGTACACAATGCTTATTTTCACATACAGAATAAAAATAACTACATAAACTAGTCTGGAATTATTTTATTCAATGAACAGTTAGATGACCACAATAACTAGGAAGCACGGAACAATAGTTGTGGAGCATTAAACTTTGTATACTTACCTGCTAAACAAAGGTCGCTTATACAATTTAATTATATATATTTTTTAACCACACAAATAATAGACTATCCCAATATTATAGATTACTTTTAAAGATTTTTATAATATAAAGAAAAAATGTCGTAACACAAAAAGCCATTGATTCCATTTCAAACCGATTTCAATGGTCGAGCAACTAGTTTATCAATTTGTGACGAAATAAAGAAATTCACTTTCTCTTTACTATACACAGATTTACGAACTAATCTAAACTGTTTTAGTTATCATTACTTTCAAATTTAATATATTTTCACTTAAATTGTAACTAATTCGTAAATTCCAAGTTAGAACATACGTTATAAAAGATGAATTCAACAAGAAAATTATAAAAATGATTTTTCGTAATATCTTTTAGTGTAATTATTATTTTTTTGTGTACCATTTAAATGTGTAATGCAAATAATATTAGCCACAAAATCCTACAATTGAATATACGAAAGATTCCAGGGCAGCATTACGTTCAGAAAAGATAAATTGCCAGCACTGATTTATTGTAGGGAAAGGAATTCACAAAGAAAAGTTCTTTCATGCCGGGGCATCTATCAAATAAGTTTCTGAAGGCAGATTAGCGAGGATTCTTTTATATATCACGTAGACCCGGGGCTCGGAACAGGTGCTGTAATTAATAAATTAACATAAATAATTACGTAATTTGGATCAAAATTATGAAAAAATACTCATAATCCTAGCCAGTATGATTAAATATAGCAGATTTTTGTACGTAAATTTTGTCAGGAATTAACTGAGTTTGTATTTTGAGTCCATAGTTAGAAGAGATCGTCCTCCACTGATGAAAGGGATAAAGAAATACCATGTGTAAGACAGGGAGAGATATGTTTAAAATGAAGGGGCAAATGTGTTCAATGTTAGAACATCTCTAGACAAGGATAGAACTAGAAATATAATGGATATAGACAGGGACAGCAACAGCCCCATCCGTTCAGATAAAATGACTCTCCGTAAGAGGGTAATTTCTGTGAGCAGCTGGACCAAACCGGAATAAGTTTATTTTCAATAATATAATGACGATGCCCGCAGCCTCTTTTTCCATTTCACGGACTTTTGAACTAAACATTTTCCCTTTGTAAAATTGTTTAAGTAATATAACCATGAGATAAAAGTAAGAATTCATTGCTGTACGTAAATTAACTTTTTTTCTGAGAAACACAACGAACGTACTACATCGAGTCTATTTACTTATATCAACAATTTATAATTAAATTAGAATATTATTCAGTATATATACTAAAATCAATAAATAAATAAAATACAATTCATGCTATTTTAACGCAAGAATATGAAAATAATAATGTAAATAAAAATTATCGAACGTACCCATTTACCTATTAGTTCTATTGTTATAATTACCTGTCAAGTCATCAAAGACAATACAAGCCATTGAGAATTTGAAATCGTTTTTAAACTGTGCATCATAAGTATAAACAATACATTAATTGTCATTTATAAATTAACGACGAATATTTTTGAATATCATCACAAGATGATAGCCGTTTTCGATATGTAATTATAACTAATTGTTTATTTTTTATAGTGTTAAGTATTTATATAAGAGAATTGCAACTGGCGGGTTATAAAAAATGCGATCGTCTTTTTTTAAAGAAAGCGATACGAATCGCCGTCACTCAGCCATGCCGCTCGGTGTTGTCGAGTTGTGATTGTTTAGTTTGGTGTTAAAATGATGGTGTATTCCAGCGGCGCGCTGGGCGGGCTTGAGGTGGTGGAGGGCGGTCTGGTCGGAGGCGAGCTGGCGGCTCACGTGCTGAGCGCGCAGGCCGCCGCACACGCCGCGGCGACTGCGGCCGCGCAACAACAACAGATGGCTGTGCAGCAAATCAGTTAGTAATCAACATTTCACTCATAATAATACATAAATATATCAAATTATATTCAAATATACATAAAAAGTGTTAAAGTTTCTGTTAGTAACTAAAATTTTGACAAGTTCATTCAACTTCTAACAATGACACTATGAATAGAAGCAGTCTTAATTTTTCATATTAAATATTTTTATCCCATATTGTTTAAGATATTAAAAGCATTCTATACAAATTTAGTTATATTTAAACTATTTTTATGTTATATTATGAACAAGTACTAAAGTATACATGTACAAACTTAGTGTGTCCGTCAGAGAACTCACCATCTTCTGGCCGGTCCACGCCTGTGACCACGGCCGCTGGGAACACTTCCCCGTCTCCCAGCAAGCTGTTTGTGGGCGGGCTGAGCTGGCAGACGAGCTCGGAGAAGCTGAGAGAGTACTTTGCTATGTTCGGGGCTGTGACCGATGTGTTGATCATGAAGGATCCCGTTACACAGGTAAATAGTCAGCAGTTGATTAATATAGACCAAGTTAGGATATTATTAAGTCTTATTTGTTTAAATTGATATAATTGATTGTTATGAGAGCAGGCGTTGACAAGTTGAGATGTATGATCCCATGTTTGTATATTGTGGGTGTACACATAATAATGAATATTTGTTCAAAGACAGAGTTTGAAGCCGAGGTCTGGTCAGTGGCTTACGTCTCCGTTAGGTTTGGACATAGGTCTCGTTGTACCATAAACAAAATTTAGTTTTAATGTATTTTTATTGTATTTGATATTTTATATGCTTAAGTAATGTAGATGATGACATTCCTTATACCATAGAGCTTTTGGTTATTTTTGTTAATATCGATAGTCCCTGAGATCTTTTGGAGTATTCTTTTGTCTATGATGTTTGTTAAAAGTTTTGTTTATGGTACGGTAGAAGTATAGTTTGGGCTATGGTTGAAAATGATGTAATTAGGTACACTTTAACATAGCGGGCATGCTAGACTCACTAACATATAGACAATTGTTAGGTTATTATTATAATAAGAACTTCCTCTTCTATATATCAATGGTAGAAACCCGTTTGTATGTTGGTGTTGCCATGTACAGATATGGTAGTCCTTGGTAGAAACACCTCCGTCATTACAGATTAGTCTGACAACTTATTGGTTAGAGTTTTTGATTTTTTTTTCTTATGTGAGTATCATTTGTATATTATCGGTCGTTGAACAAACACACGACACGTATTATAACGATGCATGTAGCAACACTGACAGGAGAGACATCACTCATTAGATAATATATATATAGCTAGGGGAGTAATGATGGATACTGTAAAGAAATATGTAGAGAGGGAAAGACTGGGGAGGTAGAGTCGAGGGTGACTGCTCTGTAGTAGGACACGTTAGAACATGCTAGCATATGTTGGGTTGAAGAAATAACAGAACGTAGGGTAGTCCTTGAACACCTCCTTGATAGTGAGCAGAGTACTTTAACGGAGGCCCCTTAGACATAAAGTTGGCATGAATGTATCCGTCAGGTGTCACTGTAACCATAGGTATCGTAGAGTATATCGCTGTAGAGTGTTCGAGGCGGGTACTGAGGGGGCCGCGCGCAGCGCTCGCGCGGCTTCGGCTTCATCACGTTCCAGGAGGCGGCGTCCGTGGACAAGGTGCTGGCCGTGCCCGTGCACACGCTGGACGGCAAGAGGATCGACCCCAAGCACGCCACGCCCAAGTCGGCGCCCAAGCCGGCCAAGACCAAGAAGATCTTCGTGGGCGGCGTGGGGCAGGACACGTCGGCCGACGAGGTGCGCGCCTACTTCGCGCAGTTCGGGGCCGTGGAGGACGCCGTGATGCTCATGGACCAGCAGACCAAGAGGCACCGCGGCTTCGGCTTCGTGACCTTCCACTCGGAGGAGGCCGTGGAGCGCGTGTGCGACATACACTTCCACACCATCAAGAACAAGAAGGTGGAGTGCAAGCGCGCGCAGCCCAAGGAGGCCGTGGCCGCCGCCCCGCTGGCGCTCGGCAAGAGGCTGGTGCTGCGGCCGGGCCGCGGGCTGGTGTACGCGGGCGGCGTGGGCGGGGTGGGCGCCGTGGGCGGAGTGGGCGGCGTGCCGGCCGTGGGCGCGCACGCGTACCGCTACGCGCCGTACGCCCTGCCGGGGTCGCTGGTGGCCCCGCAGCCCGCGCCCGCGCCCGCGCTGCCCCAGTTCGGCGCGGCCTACTCTCTAGCCGGCGTGGACATGTCGTCGTTCCAGGGCGTGGACTGGAGCGCCATGTACGGCGTGCCCATGTACATCTGAGCCGCCCCGCGCGCCGCCTTTTGTTTGTGATCGGTTCCTACAGTTTGTTTCGTCTCGGACCCGCCGGGCCGCCTCGCTCCCCGCCGCGGGACCCGGAGCAAAGAATGCGCATTTCGTTTTATTATTTTTTTTTATTATAAGGCGAAGATCTCAGATAATTTAGTTTGCTAAATCGATTTTTTCCATATTATATTTCTTGAAGTTGTATTATTATAATGACGGTAGCTAGGTGCACGCTCGCCGGCGGTGCGTCATGTCTATACTCGACTGGACGTTGTTTCTCGCAGCTCTTGTATTTTTTACATTAGTGTCCTGGTGCCGGGCGCCGCGTCACGTGTCCCCCCCCCCCACCTCATCCTCTGCTCGTGCCATTGTAGACGACCTTGTGCCAAACTGTCTGGACTATCAAACTTATTATTGGCTGGTTCCGGCTCCCATATAAACAGACTTCTCCTACCGGTGTACAGTTTCCGGACGCGGGCCGGACGTCACTGTCAGTGTCAGCGTGAGGCACGTGAGGCGGCGCCCGACCCACACATACATATCTAACGAGTAAAGCAATCATAACATGCCACTTGTATGACTTAGTAGTTATCACACCCACGGCAGCGGCGGGAGTGTCTCCCGTACAGAATAGAGGAATTATTACATTAATATGAACAGTCGATATAAACCCCGCGAGTATTTGAACGAAGCAAAGCACGAGAGAGGCTCAAACACGGGACAGACTCGCCCGCTGCGGCGCCGCGGCTCCGGCCGAGCTGATGTGTGGACCTCACTCCCTCTGAAGAAGGTCCACTGTCCCTCGGCCGGGCTCGTGAACCATCCAACGACGTTTCTTCATAACCCAGTGTTCTCTTGTAGTCGTAAACCTCGGTGGCTGGTTGCCGCGGCGCGGGTCCTTAGTGAGTAATGTTAATTAGTTTAGCAGTTGTAAGGGAATGCGAACTAACACACCGAGTGTACCGTGACAATAAGTATAATAAGCCGCCTTGACGCCGCCTGCCCGCGCCCGGACGCGACTCCTCTGTGCTCCGTAGTGTCCGCGCTCACTTGTTTACTTATTCCTGGGGGTCGCGACCCCGGCCCGCGTCGGGCGCCAAAAGCGACGAGTATTATCGGGAGTGATGTTTAATCGTAGTTATTTTTTTAGGTTACATATTATTACGGATACGACTCGAGGAACGTACTTAACTTCATTAGTTTAGGATAAGGTTTTCGAAAGCAATACTCGAACGTTTCACTGTGATTAGAAAAGTATTATATTATTAAAAAGACGTTGACGGTTGTGTTCGTGCAATTTGTAGTTGTAAGTTTTTAATGGTGGGGCGACTGACGCCGGGCGGGGGCAAGCGGCACGTAGAGACATGCATGCGGTAGATAGACGACCTGCCACCTACCACCGGCGACCGGAGGCAGGGTCCCTCCACACACGCCCCAGCAGTATTAACGATACACCTCCTCCCGAGACGCGCGTCCGTCGCCTCCTCCTCCCTCCTCCTCCTCCTCCTCCCCCCTCCCCCTCCCTCCTCCCTCCTCCTCCTCCTCCTCCTCAGCAGCCGGCGGACCCGTCTCTCGCTCCTGTAGTACATAGCATCTCCCAAGTCAGTATTATTCGGTCGGCGTGACGTAATGTTCCCCTACCCTCAGCGGCGGCCGCTCTCTTGCCAAAGCGCGGTCTTGCCCGTCTTGTACTTAATTTACACCCGTATGTATGTATGACTTAGTATTTATATTATTTTTGTATGAACACCTTGTATTAGTTTAGTATATAGTTAGCGTAGTGTTGTATGTAGTGGTCTGAGTTCGCTCGTACATTGTATGTTGGAGCACTTTCGGTACACGATGTGTCATTACATTATAATTTAGAACAATGATGTGTTTTATTTCATAGAACCGTTTTTTTATTTATATGTTTCTGTCGTTCGCTGGGTCTGTTTCCCTTGGCTTGGTGTGCACGGCAGCGGGGCGCGGCCCCCGCTCGGGTCTACTAACAGTATAGAGAGTGTCGGCATGCTTGGCATGATTCATACGTAACAGATTATCTTCCAAATTCACTGTCAATTGTTGTACAGGCGATTGCCTCACGTTGGTTGTGAGACGTGCTCTTAGCGCGGGCCCTAGACACGTAGTTAGACCTTGTAGTGACGCTTCGCTTGAGGCCTACAGTCTTCCTCTTTTGATCTGACCTTATTTGCCAAAAACGGGCCAAATGTTTTGCTCAGCTCGACTTGAGAGCAGCCAAATAATAAATAGGAAAAACAAAAGGCGGCTGACACTAGCACGGACAGAGTGTAGCCGAGTCGACGGTAGCTTAAGTATAAGACAATAAATATTGACACGCTGAACATAAAGAAACATTCCACTCTAGTCATTTATAATTTAAGATTTGAAAGTTTACGGGAAGTTGTTCGATATGTTGCTCAAGTTATCGCCTAGTAGTAGCGTCTTCTCTAGGGACTATGCTTCGCAGTAGTGATGTGCCATACACGATACATGCCACAGCACGGCTAACATACGGTAGTGATGTACCACCGCTTGTCGCGACTCCAGGATAACTGGACCAATGTAAAGGAAGGTCTTATTGATAAGGTTATAACATATACATTGATTAATATACAAGTTTTGGATTCTTATAAGTACGTTATGGAGGAAATAACAAATTATGTTGTGTGTTTTAATGTACGACAGATGCTAGAGTAGTGATGTAGTGTAGTGATTTTGAAAATTTACATACATATATGATTAAAGTTAAGTAACTAACCGAAAGCAATAAAAACATTTATTATATAAATATGAAGCAGCACGCGCGCGCTGCGGCCGCTGCACGCGAATGAGGCGCCGTCTGGCGACGCGCTATATATATAGTAGAGCTCGGCAAGATGGCGGCCACGGCAGCGCGCGCACACACTTAGGAATAATAACGATATACACTCGAGCATGCAAAATATTACGATATTTTTGTATAATAAGATTGGTGTAATCTGTAGCGGGTTGGTATTTGTATTTTAAAAAGTTAATAATCGTGATAATTATTCGAACGTCGTTTGTAAGTGAGATATGTGATTTAATATGTTTAAAATGTAGTGCGTGGATAAGCCGCTTGAGGCGTGCGGCCGTGTGGGCCTACATCGACGACATACACACACACACAGACACTGTGCACACACACACAGACACAGTGATGATGCTATCGCGTCGATAGTTTGAGATCCGCGTTGGTCGCGCAGACCTCGAGTGTCGGAACGTGGTCTATCAGACCGACATCTCGAGCCGGACCAACGCTGACCCCACACTCGGTACATAGACGCTGTATTTACATTCCTTTGTATATTGGTTGATTGCATTTCATGGTAGTGTCTATTTGATGAATAGTTTACCATAGACCAGTAGATATGGGCTGTTTTTTTTTCTCCACGAACCGCTAATAGGCGAAGATATGCAATAATGTAATATTGTGTTGTTAACCGGCGATACAGTAGGAGAGTGGGGGTTGGTAGTTAGTTTTTGTTTATGAACCATCGGAGACTTCCCGCGCATAGACCTTCTGTAACCTAAGGTTCCACAACCAACCGTGCATGTGTCACCGCCATCTTGTAAGTGTCTATGCCGCGAAGTCTTTTGCTTAATCCGCAGAGTAAGTAATTTAAGTGAATGTTATTGTAATGGTGATATTTATTTGAACCATATAGTATTGTATGTATGTATGTATGCGTCTCTTTTCCCCGCAAAAGGGACGCACCATATAGAGTGGGGCCTATAGAGGCCCAGCTGACGTCGCGCCGCGCGCCTCCAACAACGCCTTTTATATATATGATTCATCTTCACTTAGTCGAGAATTAGAAATAAATGGTAAAAAACACAGCTGTTCTTTCATTTATCGCTTTTTCGTTCGTACCCTACATACAATAGACAGACGACATTTGTAAGTCGACGTAGCTTAGAGACAGCTTCGGGCCCCATCCCGGGCGCCAGTATTTTAATTTTTGAATTAGTACAGTTAGTTGATGATCCGAGTTTTATTTGGTAGTATTAGTTACCAATTGGAATAGTTTGGATATGTTACGACCCCCCTCGGAGATAGATGCATGAGAACGTGTAAAGGAAGCAGACCAGGAGTGCATGATGAGAAGTAGGCTGAGGAAGAAGACTTGAAGACGAAAACACGTAAGATAATACTGAGAGGCTGTGAGGGACGGAGCGGCGCGGCCCGAGTGACGCTCCACGAGGTATATAGTGGCTCAGTATTGTTTTATCAAACACTGCTGTTATTTGCTTAGATCTTTTTAGTTTAGTTTCCTTAGCAAAGTGCATCCCAGTAAATAGATGTAGAGTTAGTGTGGTTTGGGTGCTGGGTTAAGACGTTACATGTATTTAGATGTTTGTTATACACAGTTTGTTTGTTTGATAAAATAAAAAGAATTAAATATACAAAAATGTGATGAAAATATAACTGAAGCTTGTAAAGAATTTATTTTTCAAAACTCGTAGAAGATTTAGAGTAGTTATAGAAGTGAGCATATCATGTTGAGGAGACACAAGTGACAAGCGCATTGTGCCTTAACACTAGGTTCCGTAACCACGTCGCTTTGGTTGAGACGGTAGCATCGGTAGTCGACGTATGTAGATGAAGGACCAATGTAGTTTTGGAAATGATGACAATATTTTTTGTACAATCTTATTGAGCCGGTCGGTGGCGCGGCGTTTATGTAACACATAGTATCCTCGTAGTACAAATATATGAGTAAGCTCTCGCGAAGTCTTCCTCGACCATTTACAGACTGATATTAATCGTTCGGATCCCACAGCTGGGATGCACTAGATTTGTTTTGACCTGTGAGGGCGTCCGTTCCGACCGTGCGTGGCCCGCCTTATGTCTGTTAGACGCTCGTACGCCACCTATGGTCTGAAGGGGCGCCTTGTTTTAGTTAGTATCGGTAGTGTTAAAGTTTTAGCTCCTGTACACACTCGAGTCAGTGCCTCCGATGTATTTTATAATTCATGATCTCTGTAAAAGAAAGTTTGTAATATTGGTGTTTGTCTCATGAGAGGTCGCTTGTGAACCAATCTTTGTTATATTAGTTGAGAGACTCCTTCTCGGTCACTTGTCTTGTATCCCGACCTATTATTTATTATTTTAGTTAGTTTGTATATAACTAGTATGTATACATAAGATTGTTATCAATTGTGTGTATTTAATGTATTTTATCTCTGTAGGGTCTAGATATCTTTCTTATTTGATGAAATTTTGGATAATAGTGATCTGTAGTAGATTTTTGATGACCACGCTCGCTGGCGGTAATGACTACCTACAATAATGACATATCGGCCTAAAAAATTTGTTATATTACTACAGTAATGTATGAACCTGGAGTGAGTCGGTAGATCGTTCCGCCGGCGGGTACAGTTGTCTAAATATAAAATGTGCTCTACGAATTTGTACAACATAAGCTCATTATGGAGATTGTCTTATTTACATTCATTAGACGTAGATTGTAATTTGTAATTCACACTTTACTCCGGAATGTATAGATTTTTTACGGCGATGAGATGGCAACACCGTGGTCGAATGGTGTTGCCCGTGAGAATAAATAAATATGTTTATAACGGTGTTGCTCACTGAATCATGTGTCTTGACCATTTTATAACGACCGAGGACTCTACGTGTCTAGGCGATTAGTGTCACAGAATAATAATTAAATAAAACATTAAATAATATTAATAGATACAGAAATAACGATTCATATTCAGAGGAAGATGTTTTTGCTGTTTCAGATTAGTAATGGTCTCCACACAAGATTCGTTAGTTGAGGGTAGTTTTTTATTGTGACTTATTGTAAACTGAGTTAGCTTGACAATGATCACTCGAGGACGACGACAACTAACGGTTAAAATAAATGGTTTCGATTCAGACATGTGTTTTATTTAACCGCCTTCAATGTGTGAAGATTTGAATGGAAGAAGTTTGTTACTCTTACACGAGAAAACTGCTTGGGATATTTTGATGAAATTTTGCAAGAACGTAGCTTAGACATTAGAATAGGACACTGGATGTAAATTATCAAATAATTCCCTGTAGTTCTCAAGACCTCATAACATAAGAGTAGAACATTTATTTATTTACGGTTCACAAAACAGATTATAACTAAATATACAAGTAATTGATAAGTAAACATTATAAATAAGCTGAGTTATAACCCAACAACTATGTGAACACATTATAATAATAATAATAAATTTATTTCAGACATTACATCCATATCAAAATTTGAAATTACATACAATTGAAATTTAAAATAATAGATTATATATAGACTAAATATTTCACTTATAAAATCAGAAATACATCAGCACTTAAAAATACATTGTATACATATAAGAAAAGACATTTAAAATAAATAGAAAGAATATTTTACACAGAAAAATATGAACAAGTTACAGCAATAAAAATATAATGAAAAATAAAATGAAATTGCATTGAAACTAAACAAAGGAGGTATAGGTACATATAAAACTGCTATTTTGAAGATCTCAGGAAAGTCACAGGTAAAAACTAGCTAGTACTTAATGAATACTTTGACATGCTTGAAGCGACAATACTAGTTTACCCAACTTCTTTAATTAAGTAATTACTTTGAGTCTCGATAGTTTCTTAATTTTAGTAAAATAGAGACAATATTGTATAATGTCTTAGTATATATTACAATTTCAAAAATAATAAATAAACAAAAGATTGTTTCTGAATACAGTAAGGACAACGAAGGGAGATAAATAATGTAAACATTCATAGAACAGTCTTACTAATGTAGATTGAGTTCTAATATGAAGAAATATTACAGAAATCTATCTTAAACAAGTAATTAGTACACTAAGAATTAGTGTGTACACTGACTTATAACTAGATATATAATTAATGTTTTAAAACGGTCTATTGTAAGATTAGTTAACAACATTATTAGTACTCATATATACTTATTTGTCATCTACATTGTGGAGTATAGTTTGAACCTCAAAGTATATTGAAAGTGAAGTAATAAAAAATAGATATAGTAAACTTCAAAACAGCAAATACAATAAGTAAATCAGGTAAAAGTAGAGTGAGATAGTTAGAGCCTTCAAAAATATTAGCTGCTTTTAAACATTACTTGACATAAAGGGTAGGAATCATTGAGATCAAGTATCCGTTATCTAATTGTATTGAAAATTTTGCATTTGAATCAACATTCATCACCTGATGAAGAAATTAATATATGTATAATACTTTAGCGAGTATTCAATTAAATAAAATTAACATTTTCGTATACTACGCGTTTTTTTTAATCATTTTAACTACATACTCCCTACGTTTCGGTTAATTTGCAACCCTGATCACGGACAGACGAGATGAAAATGTTTTTCAGATGGTCTTGTAAATCATCTGCTGAAAAACTTGGGTAGTTATGAGATGAGGAATAGACGAACGTATAATAATTATATCAAAATAAAAAGATTAGTATGAAAAGAGTTTTAAGAAACATTACCATGTAATTTTGACTTGTTTTTGTTCTATAAACAATTCACCCAAAAAATTTAATAAAAACGTACAAAACAATCCACAAAGTATTCTATTTTTAAAATAACGTTATAACTCTTGTAATTTCTATAAAAAAAACAGACATGAACATTTCATATAAACTAGTGTTTTGTTACAACTTACAATTGACCATTTTAAAACATTAATTATGCATTTAATTCAATGTCAGTGACATAATTTATGACATATTGTAGCTAATATGACGCGTTTTAAAGTTATCAGTTCAGAAACATGAAAGAAATATTATTTTACTAGCTCCTGCCCGCGACTGCACTCTATGGTTCCACCCGAATAGTTTCGGGATCAGGATAAAAGGTAGTCTATCTCCTTCTCCAAGATTCCATCTATTTCTACACCAAAATTAATCAAAATTAGTTTAGTAGTTTAGACGTAAGAAGGCAGTAGACAGACAATATTACTTTCTTATTAATACAAGAAGGCATTTTTCGCAACAATAATTTATAACACTTATATTGAAGTTCAATAGATACTCAAACATATAAACAGAAATACAAAAATATTGTCCTAAAACCAATGAATAATTATATATAAAAGAAAGTTGTTACTTATACTATTTATAACTCAAGAACTGCTGTACGGATATGGTTGAACATTGGTGGAGAGATAGATTAGAACATAGAAAGGACAAAGTATACTTTTTATGTTAATTTATTGCCTTTGAGGAGGACTGGAGTTCGTATGGTCAGGTATACATTTCAAAATTTGACAATA